ATGTGCGCTTAGATACTAAATGCTAATGCTAGCATTGCAACATTCTCGAAGAAGCAAATCCATCATTGTCTTGTTTAGCAGGATTAATGCTAATAATCTTATACAATCTGGTGCCACTCAATAGCCCGTAATTTTCACAGTTTGTATTTTAACATTTGTTGTAGGAAATGCACAACTTGAGAATACATTTTATTTCAAAAAGTACTTAATTTCATTGAGATTTCAAATAAGTCACAAAAAACACAAGTGCTGGGTTACCTAAAATGAATGGGGCTATTTTTAAGGTCCTTAGCCACACCTGTTCATTTCCTTCTAAAGATTCGAAAGATAAGCAAAGTCAATAGGACTTATCCTCTGGGCACAGTAAATCTGCCAAGTTTCATGGAAATCTATCCAGTATACCTTGAGACTTTTATCTCTACATGCCAAATCTGTAAGAGACAGACAGAGAAATACCCAAAGTCAAGTCAGTTTCACCTTCTCGACACCATGGATAGCTGTAACAAATGCAAAAAAGTTGGCAATTCAGTGACTGAGATATTTCATTTTGAACCAAAGTGATGTGCTAAATAATCATAACAACATTCCCAAGAGCAATGCTGTAACCATGGATAATGATAATAAGAATGCAAACATGCACAAAGAAAGATAAATTCTCTCAGACATCTGGTTGTTGTTTTCACAAAACACAAACCTCATCTGGGGACTTATTCATGGTGTCATCACTGGTCATATCACCCCAGAAAGCGAAGCGTAGCCTTTGGATAACATTGTGGTGCTGTTGCCTTGTCTTTGCAGTGTAGTTTTTTTTATTATCTTTTTTTCATGCATTCAGTAAATCTGAATCCTCCAAAAAAGCCCATTAAAATGTGTCTACTTTCATCATCTAAATGACTTCTCGGACTATGATCCAAGCCATCCATCAAACCTTTTGTTGCATTCTGCTCGCTATTGAGGATAACATGAGATATTGTGGAGATGAAGGCAAGTGTTTACTTTGTAAATAGAAGTGTGCACAGTGTGCCACTCATTTGTTTTTATATGGAAGCATTAGATTTCGAGATAGCTTTTTAATTCTGCCTGCGGGGTACATTAAATGCCTGCAAACCTTCGTCCAGGAAACTAACAATTATAGTCAATCGGAGCATATGGAAACCGCAGCTATTCAAAACAAAAGAAAAAAGGAAAGAAAAGAAAAGATGGGGCCTAAGCTGAGGAACTGCCTCATACATCATTACACAATATTGCTTATAGTGTTCCTGTTTATGCCCCTAATTCAACGTCTTACTTTCTAAAACTTTAGTTCAAATTAAATCTGGATTTGCACAGCTGTAACATTATTATATTTCTCAGTTCAAAAATGTCTCTTGAATCGGTGCATACGATATAGGTACTAAAAGCAAAGACTTATATTCTGAATGATCTTCATATGTATTTTCTCCCTGGACCATAAACTTTTCAGCTCCTTTAAGTCTATAATCTGCTAAAGATGTTTTTTAATGGCATTTGCAATTCTGCAAAAATCACAGTCTTAGAATATTGTACTGTGTTTAGGGGCTATAGCTGTGTGGGACTAGATCAGATTAAAGCCATTTCTTTACATAATCTTTCGACTTAAATGTTCATTTGGAAATATATATTTCTAAACACACAGTTTTACATTCCCTGTATTATCTGCAGCCTTACCGAAATTACGGCTAGATGAAGAGCTTCCTGTTCTTCCTGTTCTGTGTTTTGAGGCCAACGTCACTGTGACCTTCTCACCCTGATTTCTATATAGTAGCCACACTTCATACTTCCTGGATGAAAAAACAACAAAGCAGTAAATACAGCGCGGCCGAGCAGCAGGCTGAGTTAGCTCAGACGCTCACTACTCGCTAACTGAATCTGACTCCAACTGCCACTCACACAAAACTTATTTAAGTATCTTGTTCTTTAGTGATTTCTCGGAGGTGAGGGAACTGCCCGCTGAACTGAGAGTTTATTTTGTGTCAACTCTTTTTGCCACCATAAGCCACTGCAGTATTTTTAGATTTGCCCCAAAATCAAACTTTAGGTAAATTCTTCCGTAGCTCAGAGGAGAAAAGAGGCCATTACTGTATTTGAGTTTGCTATACACCAACCTACTGTGAAGCTATTTAGGATTTCATGATCAGGTTGCTTATTCTTATTATTAATGGTTTCCCGTTAATACAGTAGAGCTCATGACTTAAGTACACGTACAACTAAGTTGCCATTAGTGGATCTGCACGATTTTTTCATTGAGTGTATTATTCTCTGACATGCCTCTACAGACCACCCCGATAAAGAGCGAGACGAGCAGATAATGATACAGAACACGAGCTACGACGTATATCAGCTCTGGAGGTCCGTTCTAGTGAAGATGTGCGGCTGCTGGACGGTGAAGGGATGATGAGCTTTCACATAAGCAAGAGGGGGATTACTGTCAATTGCTCCTAAATTGCAATAATACCCGCTGTGGGGCCACCCACGCATGTGCTGAGAGACAAGTGATAAATTGCTACATATGTCCATTCCACAGTGGCAACTACTGATACCCGCACACTGCCCTCAACAATCTCCATTCCTCAATGCTGCCTGTCGTACAGAAACAAGCTTTTACTGTAAGAAGTATTAAAAATCTAAAATTTAAACTTGGTTATAAGGGTTCAAAACAGTGTGCTGTCTCGTTTCCTTAATATGCATGGCAGGCTAAATATTTTTGTGAAAATCATAAAAATATCTCTGAATAATTAAGATCTGAGAAGTAGTTGAAAGTGCGCCTTTTACATTCACCTTAAAAATCCAGTTAAAGTTTAAACAGGATATATAAACAGCACAGGACCCCATTTTAAAGAATTCCTCCACACGAGGAAATTCTTTTCCGCTCAAGATAAACATGGCCTATCGTGTTTTGAAACTAAAACCTTCTGTGTGTTCTCATGAAGGAATAAATGGTAATTATTTCAGATCAAATCATTCCTCTGCCAAAGAGCCAAGCAGATGGCTAATCCAGTCTCAATATCTAATCAGAGCAGTCATCCTAATGACAGTATAATTTCATAAGAGGCCTTTGTCTCAGAATATTCAGGAGCAGCATGGGGAGATCGGAGATATTCATCATCAGCACAGATTGGAAACAGGCTCTAATAAATGACACATTTGCTTCCTGCCTGTCTGTGTAAGAGGAATGGTAGAATGCAGTGAATGTGGTACAGTGGGCTTGATTGTGTTGGTGTGTGTGTGGAGAGGCGGTGGCATGGTTGGAGTGTGTGGGTGGTGGACAGCTGCTGCACGGCTCTCCGTGTGCTTTTCTGAATATGCACATGTATGTGTGACATGCGTGCTGGTGTGTGTGCGTGGATGTAAAGGATGTGTGTGTCTTTCAGAGTTTGGTTTAACTAATAGACGAGGCATTAATGTAGAATTTACACCTTGAGGTCAGGGCAGCAAAAACCTAATGAGTGCATGCCATGCAGCTGGTGTCTCAAACGTGCGTGTCTTCTCTTGCAGTTGTGTTTTAGTGCACTTTGATCATTTTCACATTTGTTTTTCTAGAGCAACAATGATGAATGTCTAATTCAAGCAAAAAAAAAAAAAAGGAATAAAGAGAAATGACAGCTATAAAATCACATGCGGCAGTAAAATCCAGTCCTGTTCCCGAGTGTGCATCGCATGGAGACATCCACCTGTGAAAAGACATATTATTTACAGCACTGCGGGAAGTCACAGCAGCCCAGCATGGACAGATAAAAAATATATACACGCATGAAGGCAGGATATTCTTTTAGCCAGCTCAATGCACTGTGCTGTTTATCATGTCGAGTCTCAGCTCGATATTTCCGGCGAACTGCATGAAGCCTGACGTTGTGCTTCTACCTGGGGAAGGAGTGTCCTGGGGTCAGGAAGCGATTGCGACACACACACTCACACAAACACTTGTACACAAACACTGATACACAGTGAACTGGGGCCTGACTTCCTTACTCGTTCGCCCGTTACAGACGAGCAGACGTTAAATTCATTCACCTCGCACACGCACACACAAGCACAGATGCGAGCTCCAGGTTTGCATTAGGATGACAGAGGGTGGAGGCGGAGTCATATTTACATCAGCCAGTGTAATATTATCAATAAAAGCCAAGAGAACAGCAGCTTGCCATAACTCACTTAGGCAGGGAGTAACACAGCTGCTCAGAGTTCATCTTCCTCTGACTCAACAGAGGGGATGAAAAGTTACAGCAGTGACAAAGAAGCAGTGGGGAAGGAAAAAGCAACGACACAGAAAGGATAGATTAAGAGAGTGTGTGATACTAATTTACAGACTGATATCCAACCTAAAGCTATTTTACCAAGTTGGAAAATAATAATAACTAATTGATTTGTGTGTACTGTTATTATTTCAGAAAAAATGAAAGGCCTACAAATGCCTTGTTTTTGCTAAACACTGATTTAAAAACCAATAAAACTGACAAAAATAAACAAGAGGAAATCAGAGCTATAAAATGATGTGTTGAAGGTGATCGACTGACTGTCAGTCTAAGTGCAGACTAACCTTGCAATCAACTTTTTCCGTTTTTGGTTTCAATCTTTGGGGATGTAGTTCATGGCTACATTATTATGCCATATTGTTGCTCAGCACAAGTCACTTGTCCAAGTAATTTCACACATTGCTGTGAGAATACTGTAGCAAACATACATCATGCAGTTTGGAGCACAGGTGATTCCACTAAACATTAGTTTGATCACATATCGTATTTGCCATAAACATAACAATATGTAAGGATTTCACACACGCTATATCACCCAATCATCCATCCATCATCCATAATTTAAAAGGGTGTTCATTTTAAAGCTTGTCAAAAAACATCTGATTGCATGAAGAAACTGATTTTTTAAGTCAAGGACTGCGGTGAGCTGTTAACTTCAATGCAAGTCAGTATGAGTTCACTCTCATGCATGCTGCTAACTTTTTTTCTTTCTTTTTTATGTGAAATTAGGTGTCACGTCTCATTTTGGAAAGCTGCTCCTCAAAAACTTCATCACTGGCCTCCTAAGATTCACTGCGGACGCTGGCTGACCTCAGCGAGTGACCTCTCCAATCATAGATCAAAGCCGTCTGCTTCCCAGCTAGTCGGGTTAATCAGAGGACCACCCTGAAGAGCCAATCAGGTAACATCTTACTGGACTTTAAGGAATTATGCTGCATTTGACAGGCATACGTACATTTCCTTCAGTGATGTACTGGAGCACATGTTTGAGGTTTATAGGTTTTTTTCTAAGCATGTCAGTGAATCTGTTTTGGGGATCAAGTGCTTTGTTTTCAATTACATCAGTCATAAGTCCTTTTAATTTGCTTACATTAGGCTTTGAAAGACAAGGGCATGCACACAAAAGAAGAGTATGTGACCCAACTGTAGCAGAAGAAAAATAATTAGAAGCTCATACATAAAGTAAATAACTCTAGAGGGCTAAAGCCTCATATTGTAAAATCACAAATTGCTTTTTGTTTTACTACTTAGAGTAGTTTCAAGAGCATTATTGAAATACAAATTTACAGTCTGAAAATAATGTCCAAGATCAAATATTCCAGTCAAAATGGTGCCCGAATAGTGTGAGTGAAATGTGTGTAAGTGTCCATGCAAGTGGTTGTGTGTGTTGTGATGCTAAGAATGGAGCACTTGTATCACTTGCCCCTGTTTCAGGGGAAGTGACATGAGATACTTAAAGACCAAAATTGCCTCACTTAGCCAAACAAACTGGCTCTCCTGACACACACACACACACACACACACACACA